GAACAGACTTGAGACTGTCTCGGAAAGGAACTTCCCGGAGGCGTAGTATGGCTTTTGACCAGAACAGAGTACAGTAGACATGATATTTGCCGCAAGGCAAGTCCAGGAGAAGTGCATGGAACAGAACAAGCCTCTTTGTCTTCATTGACTTGACAAGGGCATTTGACACTGTAAACAGGGAGGCTCTCTGGATCATCCTGAGATGGTATGGCTACCTGAGGAAATTAGTGCAGTTGATTCAGCCGCTTTACGATTGTCAGCCTTATCAGGTAGACCAGATAGGAAACAGGACCAGATTAGCTAATTCTACTTTATTGTAAGGCTACATTAACAACATCTTGCAAGTCTGAAAGTACAATTCTCCCGCCGTCTCCTTTACCCCCAAGAAATTAGGGAGAGTCTCTTCTGAGCCTCTTATCCCACCCACTATCCAGCTGCGAACTATGCTGTCTCTTATCTGATCGTTCCCTAGGCAGCATCTCTGAGCCTAATCTCCCAAGGTCATTTCCACATACCATTACAATGATGGAATGGCAGGACAAGTCCTTTACAATGGTGATACATCAGCTGCATTTGCCATTTCCAATGGGGTAAAGCAGGGTTGTGTACTAGCCCCGGTCCTATTCAATCTGTTCTTCGCTTGCATGTTTTCATGTGCTATCTAAGGTCTGAAGGAGGGAGTGTACATCAGGTACTGATTGAACAACTCTTTCACCTTCACCACTTGAATGCACATACAAAGTGCCTCCATACAGTCATTCAAGAAACCCTTTTTGCTGATGACTGTACGCTTCTGGGACACAAAGACAATGATCTACAGTTGATGCTGAACAAATTCTTAGATACCGCTATATCATTCAGCCTGACTATCAGCCTGAACAAGACTGAAGTACTTTACCAGCCCTTGCCAAATACCAACCCCCTAGAACCAAATTTCACCTTTGATGACACCCAGTTGACAAATGTAAACAGCTTCAAATACTTGGGAATCATCATCTTGAGCAATGGGTCTCTGGCCAAAGAAATTGATTTTAGGATCAATAAGGCCAGCCAGGCTCGGGTGGCTCTGTACTAGAATGCTCAGTCAACATAACATCTGTATCTCCACAAAGCTGAAAGTCTACAGAGATGTGGTTATCCCTTCTCTCCTATATGGATGTGAGTCTTGGGCTCTGTACTGACAACACATCAAACAACTGGAGAAATTTCACATGCGCCCCCTCCGTTCCATCCTTGGTATTCTTTGGCAAGACCATGTCTTCAATGTGGAGGTCTTGGATTGCGTGGAGTCCACCAGCACTAAGTCCCTGATTATCAGAGCCCAGATGCAGTGGGTGAGACATGTCATCAGAATAGACTGCCATTGTATGCCTCACCAGCTGCTCTGTGGTGAACTGGAGACCAGAAAGAGACCTTGAGGTTGTCCACACAAACGCTACAAAGACACTGTGAAGGAAACCCTACAGCATGTGACATCCAGCCAAGGGAACTAGAAGCTGCGGCTGCTGACAGAACCTGCTGGCAAGCCCTGTCTATGAAGCCTACACCAGTTTTGAAGACAGGCACCACCAAAAAATCATTAGCAGTGTCACCCAGTAATACCCACAGTTATTGTAACAATGGACTTCCAGTGCTCCTATGGTGCTAGACTCGGTGGTTTCAGACTGGGACTGCAGAGCCACCTCCGTCCTCACAGATGAACTGCACAACAGTGTGTCTTCTTCAAACCCGAAGGACTACCTATGATTATTTATGCATTATATAATTCACATTTTCACATTTTTGTAAGTGCGAAAGAGGCAGTTTGCCATGCTGTCCTGATAGAATGATTTTCACAGAAAAGAAGACTGAGATGAAGTACTGCCTCACATGTCCAAGCCAAGAGGCCTATTTGATACCTAAGCAGGCTATTACCCCATCATCTTTCCTTAATATTCTGCTGCCCGTGCCCAGGAGCCTGGGTTGCATGCATGCTTGCATTTTTTGCCAGAAGCTTGACCTTCGTATTCCCATCTTCCCTTGGGCTCTCCAGCCACAAGGTCCTTCTCTCTGTAGTGTGCTGAGTACCTTCACCAATCTCCCAGAGCCTTTTTGTGCTGACAACCACCTGTGATGTTAGTAGGAGAATGGTTGGAAAGCTGAAATATTTGGGGGGTCTTGTTGGAAGTCTCTGTGACACAAATATATTGCTCAAGTATATCAGGGGTCTTGGAGCGCTGGTTGGGACTTATTTACATTATTATTTTTCTATACAGAGCTTCAGTTTTGTTAATGATTTTAAAGGAGGTTAACTACTTCTTTCTGTCTGGAAATGCTTGGAATTCTTTCTAGTTGTTTTGTCTTCCATTTTGTTTTTTTCCTTCCTCACTCAATATTCATTTCTTGTCTTCTTGTTTCTCTTCAACTTCCTCATGCCACTCTTGTGATATCCTGGAGCTTGGCTTAACATCCTGATTCTCTCTTCCCATTTCACTAATTTGCTCCTCCAACTCTGTTTAATCTAATCTTATGATTCTGAAGCAGAAACAGAGTTAAGGAAGTTTAATGCCCCGGGTGGAAATCAGATAAAAGTGAGAGACTCCTGATCCAGGTGAACCTATTCTGGCTTGACTTCTGCTTCCCTCTGGTTGCTATCTTCCTCCTGTTGCAATGGCCTGATGACACTTCAGCTGTATAATGAGACTTCAACTATTATAATGGCTTAATGACATTCCCAACATTCAGAAATATAGGCATTGGGAAAAAAGACAGTACATTTAAATTCTGTCTGCAAAATGAGAGTTATTTTAGTATATATCAAATCCAAAGGTGCTCAATTTATTTCTGCTGCAATAAAAATGTCTCTTGCTAAGTCCTGAAAACAGCTGTTATATGACCCATATACTAAGTGAAACTAAAAATTCCATAGTTGACATTCCTAAAGGTTTATTCCAGATCCCACCCTATACATGACTTCAATTCAAAGCAAGGATCATGAGAGTAAAGTCACGACAATGACTAGTTATTTTCAACGTACGGCTAAAGTTAAAGTTTCTTTCTGATGGTTTAGCACTTCAAGTATTTTCAGCTAAATTTCTATCTATCTAGAAATGCTCATTGGAGAGGGAACTATGTTATGACAGCCTCTCCTAAGATTTCCTTGTTTTAATGGGATATTATTCAAAAGCCAACTCAGTGATTAAATAGTGTGTTTGTGATATGGTCTGGCATATAGATTTGGGTTACATAAATAGCTCTTTCACCTTGGGAAATCAAATTTATATGTTTTAAGCCAGCAAGATACCTTGCAATGATTACAATACCAAAATTCCATAGAGCATTTTATTGGCCTACTTTGAGGCATTGCATTCAGTGGTGTTTGAAGGAAATTTTTTGAAAGGCATGATATGATGAGCGTTATTTCCCTTGCAACACAGGAAACATGAAAACAATGGCCCAAATGTTGTTATATGGTAATTTCTATAAAAGCATCCTCCCTTATTATTTATTGAAAGTCCTAAAGGATTATACAGGAAGCTCGAATAAATTTTATGTAAATTACCTCTTATCAGATGTATATTACACCATAATAATAACACTGCTAAGTTTTGTCAAAGTGCAAGTAAGGTTCAATAAAAGGTTATTTTATTAGCCAAGCAATAAACAAACATGAGAATGGACCTTAAATTGATTGGCAGTGCTAAAATGATGTGTTTGTGATCTGCCTATGTGTATTTTTTTAATTTATATTTCTGGCCAGCGGCCAAAATAAAATAGCAGTACAGTGATGACTGTAAAATCTGTTTCTACCCCATGTTCTTGTAAAATAAGAGGCCACTCATTAATTTAATATTTATAGTTTAAACATTTCACTGCCAATATAATAATAATAATATTTCCAAAATAAAGGTAAGAAAAATAGCAAATAATCATTTGTGAAAGAGAAGGGTGGTTTGTTTTTGTTTTGTGTAGCCTTATGGGTCTTCCTCATTTTTGTCTGTGGATGTATTTAATGCATAAAACTCCCCATTTAAAATGTTAGTCTTATTTGCTCAGAAAAACATCTTTTAAAAGTGATCTAAAACTCTTTTTAAAAATTATGCTTGGCTTATATTTGTTGCCATCACAGCAACTTTGTATTGTAATTCCAGAGGAAACCACTAACAATGGCTTTTCCCATAGACTTCTGCCAAAACCTGTAGAACAAGATGTTTTCCTTATCAATGTAATGCTGTTTTGCCCATCATGTTGGTATTTTTATAAATCGGTATTTCAGTTAATTAATGCTGTGTGAACTTATAAAAGCTTCTTGTGCTCCTCCCTCCCTCCCTCCCTCCCTTTCTCTCTCTCTCTCTCTCTCTCTCTCTCTTTACTTAAATGTCAACAATTCTATGCTGCAAAAAACAATAGTGGCTGTAACTGATCTTAGAGACATTAAGTTGGCCTGCGCTATCTTTTAATACTAAACAATTCACTCAAACACGCTACAGTCAAGCCTGATACTCAGATCAGATTGCATTCAGATCTCGTTTGAACTGTTGTTGAGATGGATATTATGGGAAAGTGGTTTCTTTGTTTTTTTTTCCCCCTATTGTCCACTAATTTTCATTCATCCATTTCATTTTCATTCATATATAGATATATAGATATATACATACACTGTTTAATCATGCCATGTTTCCCTGCCAGAAAGAACCTCTTGGACAAATAAATACTGCTTTCAAAGCATATCTCATGTATCAATTTCTCAACTGCACCCATGGTGAATTTAATTGCTATTCCCTCCTGCTGATTTGAATAGGTAATGCAACTATTTTCTCAGCATACTTTACAAAATACTATAATCTATTTAATAGGCATGGAAAATAAAAACAAGTTTATTATACAACAACAGAAATTCTTGTGTCAGAACAATAGGTTCTATTTGAAAGATACGTTTCATAAAACTTTTATTGCTTAATTTGGTGGATTCTTCATGAGCTGTAAAAATTTAAAATCATGGGGGGCGGGTTTGTTATTAGGTTATAAAAGCAATCGAAGAAGGGTATCGCTTGCCAGCACCCATGGACTGCCCAGCAGGCCTTCACCAGCTGATGCTAGATTGCTGGCAGAAAGACCGTGCAGAAAGGCCAAAGTTTGAACAGATTGTGGGCATTCTGGATAAAATGATTCGGAATCCAAATAGCTTGAAAACTCCTTTAGGAACCTGTAGTAGGTAAGTTATGGATTATATTACTAAATTGTAGGATAAAATTCTAGGTTGCATTTTCTTTGTTTCAGCTGTTGTTGGCCACATGGGGTAAGTTGAAGTATTCCATATTTCAGATGCTTTTACAAGGGTAAACTAGATGTTAATCTAGGCTATACTGATATTGCTGGTCATAAGCCAAGAGAAAATTACAGATATATCTGACCAGATTCCATCTGGAAAAAAAGATAACAATTTGGAAATAACTTCTTTTTTTTTTTGAATTTGCCTATCTTGCTGCAATTAGTTGTTGATTTGCTTAATAACTTCCACACAGGATTATCTCAGGATATCTACATAGACTGCTGTTAAAACAGTATAAATACTTTGGTATAAAATGTGGCCATCTGCCTTCTGTGTAGGACTAGAAGATCAGAATATATTACTCTTTCTTTACAAGCTGCACTGGTAAAATTTATTTTTGGACTCAGTTCAAGGTGCTGCTGTTTAAAGTATTAAAGTAAGGGCAGACAATGTGTCTGCAACAGCACTGTAATTGGATGGAGCAGTGATAATTTAACTTTTTTTTTTTTTACAGAACATTGTGGAATTTTATTTAAAATAATTGTATTAAGCCTATTAGGTTTAATATACTTGATGCTTATTTTTTTTTCCCAAAACAAACAGAAAACACCCTTAGAAATAATTTTCAGGCTCTAGAGACTGCAAAAAGAGGTTGGGGTTGCATAAGGGGCCAGAATGCCTCTGAAATTGTCTTATGTGAAATTAATCTGTCCAAGAATGTTGTTTTGCTATAGAGAACCTACTCTGTGATAGCTGAGTACAAGAGGAAAGGCCTTCTCAGTTGTGGCACCCAAATTGCTTGCTGAAAAGGTGCATGCTGTTGACTTTCACTGCCATCCTTAGCAAAAGACAATTTAATGGCACTTTTGCTTTTTTTGATGATATTTTAACTGATGCTTTTTTGCTATTTTATCATTTCCTCTATGTATGACTTTAGAATGTAACAGTTATTTTTAACATAGTTCAGTGAAAGTGTCAACACAATGTGCTCCCACTGTAAAAAATGCCAGTAGTGCGTTAGGGATAATAAGAAATAGTATTGAAAATACAGGTGCCAATATCATAATGTCTTTATATAAATCAGTGGTGCAACTGCATCTGGAATATTGTGTGCAGTTCTGGTCCCTCCACCTCAAAAATGATATAGTGGAGCTAGAGAAGGTTCAGAAGACAGCAACTAAGATGATCAAGGGGCTGGTGCAGCTTCCTTATGAGGAAAGGTTGTAACATCTGGGCCTTTTTAGTCTAGAAAGGAGGCAAATGAGAGGGGACGTGATTGAGGTGTGCAGAATTATGCATGGTGTAGACAAGGAGAAGTAGAAAAGGATAAGCTATTTCCCCATTCCCAAAATTCTAGAATCAGAGATCACCCAATGAAATGGAATCCTGGAAGAATCAGGACAGATGAAAGATTTTTTTTTTTTTACACAACGCATAATTAAACTTCGGAAACTGCTACCATGAAATATGGTGTTGGTTGCCAGCTTAGCTGGCTTCAAAAAAGGATTGGACCAATTCATAAAGTCATGGGATCTTTGGCTATTAACCTTGATGGCAGTGTGACTGCCTCTGAAGGCCATCTGCTGGAAGACTAGTGGGCTTCCTTGTGCAGTTGGTTGACCACTGTGAGAATAGACTGCTGGACTAGAAGGGCCAGGAGTCTGAATCAGCAAGGCACTGCTTATATCCTTAAGGCTTTTTGAATCAGGCCATAGGCCATCTAATCAAGCATTCTATGTTATGTACTGGCTAGCTGGATCCATTTGGGCAATTCACAAGCCTGGACTGGGGAATAATATCCCCTTCCACTGTTGCTTCCCAAACACCAGCATTTAAGACATGCTACCTATGATTTAGGAGGTAGTAAACAACCATCAGAATTAGTATTCATTGAAAGCCTGATCCTCCATGAACCTGGTCAGCCCCTTTTTAAAACCATCCAAATTGGTTGCTATTATCACAACTGTTGGCATTGAATTCCGCTGTTTAATTATGTCCTGTTGAAAAAGCATTGCTTCATTATAGGATTCACACACATGGGCTGAGTCTGCACACAGCCCTGTTCAGAATCGTGTTTGACTGGAGTCCTGTCTTCCCATGCAGCTAGGAACAGTTATTATACAACCTTTTCAGGGTGCTGCAATATTAGCACTTTCATCCTGATGATGACTTGATCATCATTCTCTTTTATAAAAAATCTTTCTTTTGTTTTCCTTCTTTTTCCCCCTATTTTCTTTCATCTTCTCTCAGCTTTTTTTCAAAACAGGTTTGTTACAATATCTTGTTTTCCCATTGGACATCCA